GAGGGAATGAACAGAATTCTTAGTGCATCTCTGGTGGTGGGGCGCACCTGCACCCACTGGAGGGGGAGGGGCTGTCGGGACTGTGGTATGGCTGCTGGGCTGGGGAGGGGGTGAGGGGCAGGGGACACACAGGCTGTGGGGTGGCAAATCTGGGTGGGGGTGCAGCAGCACAGCTTTGGGCGAGTCAGCGGCAATTGGGGGTGGCACAGTTGTTGGTCAGTCACTGGTGGCTGAAGCAGGCATAGCTGTCTTGGGGGCCTGTCGGGAGGGGGATGGCACAGCTGTGAGTGGGGAAGGGGGACTGCAGGGTGGCCATGGCATAGGCCTCCTGCTGTGTTGCCCACTCCATGCTCAGGAGGGCTTAGGTGTAGGGTTTTGTTGGGGGGCCGTGGTGGGCCCCTGCTGTCTGCAACTTTACTAACAGTGGCAAGTCTCCAGCGCTGACCTGCCCCACCCCCATTCCCCCATCCTTGGACAGCCCCCTCCCTCGTGAGGCTGCTACCCCCGACAATGTGGTGTGGTGGGTACCCCCCCCCCGCTCCTGTCCAGTGCCTCCTCTTTGACTCCCCCCTTGTAAGGACAGCATCAAGGAGTGAGGAGCAGCATACATCTCTCCTTCCCCCATGATGCATAAGACTATAATGGGGGAGCCAGCTTTCCCTTTTTCCAACCCCTTCTCTCCCGCCCCCCCGAGGGCTGGTGTTGGTGTGAGGCAGATATAATTTCTCCCCCCTTCCCCTTGCAATGTAGCACATACACAAGTTGCTCTCAACCTTTCCAGGCTATTGTACCCCTTTCAGGAGTCTGATTTGTCTTGTGTACCCCCAGTTTCACTTTACTTAAAACACACTATTACTGAACAATTGCTTACTTTCTCATTTTTACCATATAATTATAAAATAAATCAATTGGAATATAAATATTGTACTTACATTTCAATGTATTGTATATAGAACAGTATGAACAACCCATTGCCTGCATGAAATTTTAGTTTGTACTAACGTTGCTAGTGCTTTTTATGTAGCCTGTTGTAAAACTAGGCAAATATATAGATGAGCTGATGTACCCCCTGGACCCTCTGCATAGCCCCACGGGTACACTACACGTACCCCTGGAGAAGTGACATAACACTATTGTGAGTGAGTTGGTTTTTGGAAGGGATGCCTGTTTCTCTTTCTCCTCCCCTTATAATAGTAAATATAAGAGGGGGTGTTTGTTCCCTTTTCCCTTCCCACCCCATGTGTCACTTGTGGAGTTCTGTAATGGAAAGGGGTGTGCTTGCATATATAAAGCCGAACACCTGATTACAGAAATGATGCATCTCTTGGCGGGCATGTTGTTCTTCATGCAATTATTTGAATTTAGTGGATGGCCTTTCTCCCCCCCCGGATAAATGAAGGGGGGGAGGTAGCTCCCTTTTATGGACAGCCAGCCAGTAGCTATAAAATCCCTCTTAGCAGCTGTTCTCTAATTGCCCTACCTGTAAAGTGTTAAAAAGTCTCACTGCTATGCATAGGTAAAAGGAAGTGAGTGGGCTCCTGGACAAAAGAGCCAATGGGAAGACTAGAATTTTTTAAAATTGAAAAAAGACTCCCCTTTTGTCTGTCTGTTCTCCTGGGGAGAAGTGGAATGGCAGCAGCTATGCTCTAAGAAGCTTGGGCCAGGTATGAAAAAAATCATCAGTATCATACCTAGAAATGACTCATTTAAAACCCCAGCTATGTAAGTAGATCAGGAAATGTCTAGGAAGCTTTAAGCTAGACCTCAAGAAAGCTATTCTTGGTGCTTAATCCTTGTAGTTGCTCTTTTAAAGTCTGTCAGTAGCCTGAGTTCCCAGATGTATTTTCTTTCTTTTATTAATAAAATTTACCTTTAAGAACAGAATTGGATTTTTGTCTGACGAGGTTTGTGCACGTTGTTTAATTAGCTGGTGGCAACAGCTGATTTCCTCCCCCGCCCCTCCTTTCTCAGCTCTTCCCCGGAGGGGGGTTGAAAGGGCTTGAGGGTATCCCACAGGAAGGAATTCCCAAGTGTGCCTTCCTGGGCTCTCAAAGGGGTTCTGCACTTGGGTGGTGCCTTCCTGGGCTCTCAAAGGGGTTCTGCACTTGGGTGGTGGCTGCATCTACCAATCCAAGGTCAGAGAAAAGGTGTAACCTTGCGAGTTTAATACAAGCTCCTGAGTCCTTATTGTGGGTGGTTCTTGGTGTGGGTGGGGGCCAAAATAATGATGAGGTCCACCCACTTGATGCATCCCTCCTATTCCTATCATATTCCAGTTTAGCCTGCCTTGTCCGCCATTTTGACGCTCAGCCAACAAAAGAGGCAAGAAGAGCAGTCTGCACCAGCAGCAAAGCAAATGGGCAGAGTATGGGGGAAAATACAAAAAGGAGTAGGAAAAAGAAAAGGAGTTGAAAGACTGGTTAAAGCCTGCAGTTGGTGCTAACAGTAAAGCTTTTTGGAAATGTTGCAAAGCCCTGATTTGTGCACAGCATGCAGACCTTTTGCAACATGCAGGGACTGACAAACATAAAGCAAATGCAAAACCATTTTCTTCTATGCGCCTGACAGATGTTGGTTTCACAGTATCAAAACCGTCAACCACGATGCACCAAGTGGAGCTAACACTGGCCTGCTACGTTGCCTGCCACTCAGCAGTTACTTCCACGGATCACCCCAGTGAACTTGCCAGAGTAGCTTTTGATAAAGATGTAAAATTCCATCACACAAAATGCCTGGCATTAATAAACAATGTTATTGTGTCTTGCATGTTCTCTGACCTCATCAAAGACATTGTGAGTCCCAGTATTCCCTGGTTATAGATGAGAGCACAGATATTGCTGCAGTAAAGCAGCGTGTGCATTGTAGTACATTACTTCAGCTCCTCCTTAAACAAAATTGTGTATGTTTTTGGGACTAGTCAGCTTGGAAGGTGAAACAGCAGAAGCAATTGCCACAACACTGATACAGTTTCTTGACAGTGTTGGTCTGGATTTCACCAGATGTATTGGGACTGGGACTGACGGCTACAGCGTTACGGTCGGGAAGAAAAATTCCAACTACATGCATCTCCTCAAAAGGAATAAGAATCTCAGTCTCATCAAATATGTGCCAGTAAAGCTGTAGAAATGCTGCCACACAGTCTAGAGTTTTTAGTTTCTCATTCCTACAGCTGGTTTTCTCACAGCCGCCTGAGACCGCGTGAATATGCGCAGATATATCAACTTATTAATGATGGCAACACTCCACTGAAGCTTGTTCAGCTATCAGCGACAAGATGGCTCTCCATTCACAACTGTTGTGTGCGCGTACTGGATCAGTGGGATGAGTTAGTTTCATTTCCAACTGAGCAAAGATAGACAACAATGCTATGATACAGAAGTTCTGTATCAGGTGTATTGCAACCCTGTGAATAAACTATTTACAGTTTCTAACACCAATTCTGCAGGAACTTGCTAGAATCATCAAACTGTTGCAACTCAAATCTGGTGGTAATGCCTTCAAGATGCTGGACTGCCTCTAGTCTCTCTTTTGTACTCTTATACCAAGAGTGTTGTTTTCACAAAGGATACCTGCATCTGACACTAAACTCCTTGAAGTCTATTTGAGTGACACAGCCAGCCACTTGCTGCTGTGTGCTGTTAATTTCGGTGCAATGTTCACTATTGCTATAGGAGATGCAAAGCTTGACAAAGCTGTTGAAGAGACTATAAAGAGTAGATGCCGAGACTTCCTCCGTGAAGCTGCTAAACAAGTGCAGTCAAGACTTCCAGATTTATTAATCTGTGGAACTCTGTCAGTGTTTAGTCCATCAGTTATTCTCTTTCAGGGAAAACCTCAGCTAGTGACCATCTCCATGATGAAAATTTTCAAAGGTGACTTGGGGGCCTTGGATGCACAGTATCAAGCCATCAAATTCCAGAAATGGAAGACTACAGATGACACACACAGAACAGTTCTGGGTGGAGGTATACAATTTTGAAGACTCTAGTGGTGAATGGTGCTTTAAAGAGCTAGCCCTGTTTTCACTTTCCTTACTTGTCATGCCTCTGAGCAATGCTGATATGGAACGAGTGTTCTCTCAGAGGAACATAGTTTCGTCCAACCACTGGAACAAGTTGGGTCACCAGACTCTGAGCCGTATACTGCATATCCGTTATGGGTTAAGACGACTAGATTTGTTGTAAGGCTTTTGTCAGCAAAGCTCTGCTGATTGGCCAGTGGGGTTTTGAGGGGAGGGGGTTGGAGGGCGGAAGGGGGAGACAACAATCATTTTTCTCCCTGGCTGGCAAAATGTCTAGGGCCACTCCTGGAGACTAGGGCTATTGTCGCATGTTATTACTTTTAACAAGTGCAGTTTTATTTGTGGTGATGATTCAAATTTTACCAATGTGTGCGTTTTACCAGTAAGGCAGGCAGTCTAGAGATTAGAGAAAGTGGATAGGAGCCTGACCTATAATCCCAGCTCTTCCAAACTCTGACCATGGGCCAATCCGTGACTGTTTCCTCGCTATTAGTTACAAGATTTAATACCATCAACAGCAATTTGAAAATGCAACATTGTAAGTATTACTAATTTATTTTGTAAGGTTTCAGAGGAAATCTCACTACAGCACTTCAATGTTATGCCTTTGCAGGATCAGGGCCTGTGATGGGATGGACTAGACCCAAACACGCATTGCTGGAGGCCTCAGGGCTCGGCCACACCCATCCCAGGAAAGGAGTAGTGGAGAGGTCCTCCAAGCAGGCCTGAGGGCTGCAGGGGGAAGCACCCACTCTGGGCTCAGGAGGGCCATATAAAAGGAGCTGCAGAACGGAGCAGCAGTACCTGCTGCTGGAAGCTGGAGAAGAAAGGACTGCGTGCCTGGCTGGCTGAAGGAACTGCAGCACGATGGACCGTTAAGTGGGGGCAGGGACTGGGGGAGTGAGGCTCCTGGCTGGCTGCTAGGACCAAGCCAAAGATAGTTTGCTAGCAGCAACCAGGGGA